GATTACCTCTCCTACTTAAACAATAACAGCGACCTAAAAATATAACCGAAAATATGACACGTTCCACTATAAATAATATATTGCTACAGTTAATATTTCATTGTTTACCGGCTAGTTGCCTAGTTATTACTTAGAGGCACGAGGTAGATTTTGGCTCCCACTAGACTTTCTATGTATCGTCATTCTTTATGTACTAATAATAATCGTACAAAGGAATATTTCTACATTTGATTATGTATTATCTTAGGAGTACTGAACCGGTTTGGTCAATTCTTTCACCAGATAAAGCTAAATAATTCCTTAAAGATATTGACAGGTATCCCAATCACAGGTCATTGTAGCTTATGGTCTAGAATCTAGATACATGAAGAAAATTCGTTCGAGTCTGGATGGTTTGTTTTTAGATTTTAATGTCAAATGTCAAAAGTCAAAATCATTTATTTATTTTTATTTTTATATAGCTCACACAAAGTACGCTTCTAATTTTACATTTACTGCCAGTTCTCGAATCAAGGCCGTTGAACGAAATAGAAGAACTGGCAATAAACTCTCCGCCACTCTTTTTATTCGCCAAGTTTTTTGTTTTACACAACGTTTGTAAGGAGCTGCAACCATTACACCATGTTCCACATGACATCTTAATTCTTAAGTAATAAATAATAAGAAAATAAATTAAAAACAAAGATTTGTCCTCTATCAGCAGGAGGCATGGTGAAATAGGAGCACGCACATTATTTACATTGTCGTGGGAACAACATGCAAATACATAGTTAAAAACAAAATAATTAACATCACCGCATACACGAATTCAAGTACGACCAGTCACCAATGAAGCTGCTTTATTCAAAATTCGATATACAATGGAATAGATAGGCTGTCAAATTTAGGAGTCGTAGCTATGAAAACTATTTTACTTAATTATTCAAAATTGACTATAAGTGACATGTCCTTTGCGAAAGTTTTGTGATCATAATTTTCAGTTGTCATATTTACAAAGGAAAACATATTGACAAAGCTTCGACAGGCCAAAGACAATATTGATGGATGGTATGGCTTTGGATCTCCAAATTGTCTATGATATAGAAACTCACAGATTAGTAAAGTCAACTCATCAGTCAGAATCACGGACAATATATTAAAAATACATTATATGAAGTAACGTTTGATTTTCTCTGCGGCAAATATACCTTTACCACGTATAATATAGCCAAGTTTCGTGCCGATAACACTTAAATAAACCATTATTTCTCAATAGTGGCTTTTCAGAAAATGTAACATATGTTATAAATTTGAAATAATTCCTAGATATTACGACAAAATCACTACACGTGCCCCCGATTTGCGTTTGAGTCATGTGTTGGCTCACAACTACGAGTGTTATGACCGTGAAATATTTAGCCGTAAATCACAATTTCGGGCTATAAAACTTTTTGTCATGACGTACAGTAATGGGTTTAAGCCATTTGTAATTAACATCAATTCTTGTATTGAAAATCAATTTTTTATACCCTCTTTGTTAACCAACATGGAAATCTTAAGCTCGGGGAACTTTTGGGTAGGTATATATCACTTGTGGTGGATCTAAAACCCAATTGGGAGCAACTCCCCTTTGGGATAACTTGCTCGGGCACACAATTTAATCCCTGACAGTGATTTTTTTTTAAATTCTTAATTGCCTTATGCAAGTCTAAACAGCTCTACATTTCACAAAATGGTATAAATTTACAATATCTGCTAAAGAGTTTAATAAAAGTTATGCTATTAGGTAACATGAATGCAGGAGCAGTGTTGGCATAGTGGCTTCAGCGTGCGACTCTCATACCTGAGGTCTTAGTTTCGATCCCCGGCTGTGCACCAATGGACTTTCTTTCTATGTGAGCATTTAACATTTGCTCGAACGTAAAGCAAAACATCGTGAGGAAACTGACATGTCTTAGACCCAAAAAGTCGACGGCGAGTGTCAGGCACTGGAGGCCTATTAGATTTAAAAATGATCATGAAACAGATTCAGAAATCTGAGGCCAAGACCTAAAGAGGTTGTAGCGCCACTGTTTTTTTTATTTTTTATTAGGTAACATATTTGGGAATCTAGAACTAACATATTTTGTAATAACATGAAATTATTGTTTGTATTTAATTCTAAACTTGACACTTTGTTTAAAATACTAAAAATTAATTGTTGATTCTTGCTAATCACTACCAGTGTCACGACTAATCATTATACGCAGCTAGAAAACAGATGGTGCCGCGTGGTGGGTCTCGTCAATGTCCCTGGAACTAGAAGATTTATGGCTTGTTTTCGCTTGCGTTGATTCTGTGGTACATGCATCAAAATATATTTGAGTTGTACAAATAATATAGGCGTCTATTGTTTTATTAAGGACAAATGTTTTAAACACAGATGAACAAACTTTCGCATGGGACGCCTACAGCAATATGTATCAATTTAGGAAAATTAAGTAAAATATTAAGCTTCATCGCTACGTCTCCTACATTTGACAGCCTATCGTTTACAATGTAGAAATTTTTCTCTGTACGATTATTATTATTACATAAAGAATTACGATAACGTTTTGCCTCCTTACTCATGAAAACTTTATCACTCTAGTGCTACTCTTTAAATTAAAGTATCTCTTTCGCGTCCAGTATTATGTGAGCAGATTTGCTGCAATTTATCCCCCCCAAGTTCCTCTTGTCAGCAAAAGTAAGCAAAGCTCTCAAAAATAATAGTACATAAACGTATTAGTAGGCATTTTTTGTAGGAATCCTCGATAGTGCATTTCGTTTTCAAGCATAGACAATGTGTGGGTAATATCTGTAAAAAAGTAAATAGTTACATAATTATAAGAAATCGAAGACCCCACTATAGTGCCGTAATATTTGAACCTTGAACCCTTTTGCAAAATTATGTTTCCACATGATGAGATAGAAGAGTGGATACTTGCAAGACCGAGTTATTTTTATAAATAATCGGGTAAATAAAACATTTACGCTTTATTAATAACTTTTAATTAATATGAAATTCAATAAGCAGTAAGATTGAAGAACATGTTTCCCAATACGTTCTGACTAATAAACAAGGAAGCCGCCATTCGGCGAAATCTGTAATTATTACTTCGAGTGATCCGTTAGAACTTATTGACGTGTCAGCGTTTGAAAAAGTATAATTTATCGTAGAGGAAACCCGAACGGCACTAGAAAATAAAAAAGTAATAAAATTCTCTTATTTTACGAGCGTAAAATGTCTTGAGGGCTGCCTCTCGGTGTTTAGTATGTTCACTGTTTACGTTAGTACATAAATGTTCTCGTAATTTATTTCGTTTATGGGCCACACTTGAAGGGTTTTTGACAATTATCGCCGAACGTCGAACCAATTTGTGTTTTGTCAAAGCGACGCCGTCAAGTGTTTGCCTCTTGATTAACTTTTGTGGCACGCGTTTTAAGCGTAATATGTATAGCTATATCAAAAGTTCAACATCTAAGCGTAAACAGAGCTTTTTCTTTAAAGCTTGAAATTTAAACATAATTAATATTCCTTAATTAGAATTCCTAGGTAGAAAAGTCGCAATACGATTGTTCTTATAATATCTATACGATTATCTAGACTTTGTTAGGGATCTATTATATATATAGTTACTGTAATGGCGCGTCTAAACGGGCCATGTTTTGCTGCAATTGATGGCTGCACTGTTGGCCACTAATTGCCCGGCCATTACAAAAATATTTTAATGCAGCTGATGGCCGAACAATCTATGGCTGGGCAATATGTTGCAATAGTATGGCCCATGATGCAGACTCCTAAACGGGCTACACAAACCGGCAACAATGGCTGACGAAATCACACATGTCGCAGCAGCTTATATTGTTTTAAAAAAGAAACAGAAAAAGAAGAGATTGTGGATTCGACCTTACTTAAATAGGCGTGAAACTGTAGACAATTTGAGTCTAGAAATAAGTCTTGATATTAAATTATTCAAGAACTAGAATGTCAAAAGTAGTCATTTTACGTAGTAATCTAACGTCAAATACAGCTGATCGCAAAACACAGAATAAAGCAACACGCACACTTCACTCAAAGCAAACGTCATGTCGCGTAGAAAAGGATACACTATGCCATAACAAAGAGAGTGACTGAAACAACAAGAGAACTGGCTGTGCAATATTGCAGTTGAATTCGATAGCCTAGCGATCGTCCGGCCACCCATCGGGGCAACATCGGCCATATGTGGCTATACAAAACATGTTTGGCTATATGGCCGGGACATTACTGCAATATTGCATAGTGTGGCTGCTATTGTTTGCAATGTTGCCGGCCACAGTGTTGCAGCCATCAATTGCAGCAAAACATGGCCCGTTTAGACGCGCCATAAGAAACAGTAACGGACTTACAAATTTTCAAGGTAAGGCTGTAAAGTTAGCCCTCTACAATCCAACAAGTTCGTTGAAATTCATACGTCAAATTAATTTTGGGTTTGATTTTTGAGCACAAAATTATACACAAACCATTCAGTTCGCAGCCTCCACCAGTAATAGGACTGACATGTAGGGGAGGGAGAGAAGAGAGAAATACATTTTCTGCAATTTCTCTTTTCACTCATTCAAGGTCAGCGCAGGGCGTTGACGTCGATTACCGGTTGGGGCCTCCTAGCTATTTTACTCTTGAATATGGAACTTTGAGACTTCGAATGAACATCATCAAGTGAGAGGTGAAATTTATCGGCAAATTTTGTTGCATCAAGAAGAAATCTTTTTGATTTCCATGAAGTAGGAAGGGTAGGAAAAACATTCGGTTCCAAAATGCCGTCCAAAAACTCTGCTGTCCTAGTCACCAGCCTACTCAGCCTGCTGGTAAATCCGCCACTGATACGAAAGCTTACCAATGACGAGTCAACGCCAATATAATATTCTATTTGGCGAATTTTTCCTACATAGATTTTTTAATGCTAAATTGTTGTGCAATATTGTTAATGGCTGAACTAATAAAAGTTATTTTGTTTCAGAGGTGGAGGTTGTATTCGACGGCCACACGTCAAACGTCCTATGAATGCCTTCATGGTGTTCGCACAAGCCATGCGCAAGCGCCTATCAGAGCAGAGACCATCTTTACACAACGCCGAACTTAGCAAATCACTTGGATCTATGTGGAAGTTAGTATATTTATATCACGCAAAAACTATGGCTCAATTTATATATTGTAGTAACTTTAGAAGGTTTTTCTTTTTCATTTCAATAGCAACTACAAAAGTTAATTAATTATGTATTGAACTAAAACAAATTATTAGATCTTTTTCTTTTTTTCTCTAGATCTTCCGACGGTAACCCTTATAAAACGTAATGTACTAATAAACTATACAATTTTTCAGAACTATAACAGAAAAATTAATTAAATTAATCTGTTACCTAGCGTGATGTAAAAAAAATTATGAATTGTACCAAATAATTAATAACATTTGCAGCTCTACAAGGCTCACGACCTCACTGCTCACATCTTAGGGCCGGTGCTCCCAAATCCCAGCTTCTTTTTCGAAGACCTTCGATTCTTCTTTGAAATTCAGCGAAAGGCTTGTGGAATTGTCAATCTCCAACGTATTACTGATCGGCTTGATTCTCTCTCTTTACACAGAGACATTGCGAACCAGCGAACTGTGGAATCGACTCCCGATTAGGGTCTTCCCTGCGAGATAAGACCTCAAATTGTTTTAAAAACGAGTATACTCCTCTCTAAAAGGCCTGGCGCACCCACATATATTAGTATCCATGGACTGCGATGGCTGCCCTTTTTGGGCGTCCCATTGGCTAGGCTTGTTTGCCCCTATCGTAAAAAAAGAAGTTTACTTTTAACGGCGTTACATACATTCAAATACCTAATATATGTTACCTGTTATTAAAACACATATAGCTTTAAATTCGGGTTACAACTTAACAAGCATCAGTAAGCTTTCTACTAACCAAAGTATTATTAAAAAAATACAAATACAAAACAAAACTTTAAATTATTTTTAATCGTCTCGTAGTTATAGTATGAATTAAGTTAAGTTATGGTCCTATAGAAAAAAAACAAAAATAACTTTAAGCTTAATAGGGGGCGCTTGTTAAAATGTCATCTTACGCCTCTTGACAACTAACGTGCTCACAGAAGATATATTTGACAGCGGTAACGTCTTCCCTGGCTACAGTTATATCTAAGCCCTTATGACCATTTGCCCTTATTAAAGCTAATTCTAAAATTGAAAAGAAATGCAAGCAATGGCCCGTGCGCGTGCGGCGTCCAACCGTGAAACGTGCATCGATTGTTTACTCATTAAAATGCTATCACCGCTAACATTGTGATAAGATCTTTAACTGTCCCGAATTTACGAGACCACTAATGATCTGTGTTTATAGTTATACTTTTATAGAATTTTTATATCTACATATAATGTAGTTTTAACCTCGGCAACTTAGTACTAAAAACAAGCAAAACTACATGCTTTAAAATGGGTGATATACCGTGTTCGCTATTTAGGGTTTGTATTCAAAACTTCTCAATATATGTATATTATAGGTGATATAATACATTTATGTCATAAATCTATAAACAATATAACTATGAGTGATACATAAAACGATAATAACCTAAAAAATAGTATAATATAACTAAAATATATAATTAAAAGGAGTCCCTTTAGGCAAGGTTCCGAAGATACTGGCAGCGTTCCCCTTTGAATAGCTAGACCAATTCTTTTTTATATCTTTTTTATATACATGCAAGTGGGCCAAATCGAAATCACTTATTTTAGATCGTAAAATAAACCTTATATATCTATTCATATGTTAGTTATTGTACAGTACATAGGAATTATGATATTTGTAATTTAAGTTTAGATAACATAGTTTCGACTTCGACACATCCTCAATTTCCATTCTATGGCTGCCTGGAAAAGATCGCTTGTTCGATCGCGGTATGGCTGTCCCTTTCCCTCTTATTTACTCACTCAGATTATTTGTTCCTATTTCAAAGCGATCATACATTGGATGTTGGATTTATTATTATAAAATAACATCCCCTTTTTATATAGCGTTGAGAATTTATCTTAGTAAGTGCTTTCCTCGCTGAACGAATAAGTATACAGCGAGGATATGCTGCCAGCATTAATTTTTGCCATAGGGACCAAATTTTTAAATTTGTTTTAATTTTTTATTAATCCATTTTTAATTATTATGATTACTATGTAGGTTAAGAATATTATAAATATTGTATATTTGTGTGTTGAAAATAAATGTATGAGATCTTAGGAAGTACTGAACTCTTTAATATTAATGAATTGTACATTGTCTTGGTAAAGCTTCTGTTGTCGCGAACACGATCGGTCCCAATACTGGATGCTAGTCAGTACTCTTTCGTGCAACAGAGTTCCATCTACAAAATAAATAATTTCCCGAAGGATTTACTATCTAAATAGAAAATTTTATTAATCAATGCTAATTTTACTAACCTGCCACGGGCCACCCACGAAGTTACCTTCAACATTGACATGCCATCTTTGCGGCTCACGAAAAGAAACGCGGTGAAAATAAAGGCTCTTATTGATCCGTTATGTAACATACTCTCATTCTATTTTTTAGAATATTTTAGACGTTACTATCATATCGTTGAAAAGTAATCAGGTGTACCCCCTCAATAGAGAACTATTGCAAAACTACCATTAAGGGAAATAGTTGATTGTTACTTCGTACGTTAATCATGCGAGATATTCTAGTTAAAATTCCTTGCTTTACCAGAATCACACAACCATTTATAGGCATGATCAGTTTTCTTTGACACATGTCGTAAATTTTTATTTTTTAAATGAGATCTAAGAATTACCGTTTCCTCACAATTCCATTTCCTTAAGTGACGTTTGCGCTCATATCTATACAAAATGGTGCAGGTCCTATCTATCCAAGGTCCGAATACACGAGTTGGAATACACTAAGCTAACATTGATGTTCGTCTTTATAAACTCAAATAAATCAATGGCGCTACAGCCGTTTTTAGGTCTGCGCCTCAGATGCCTGTATCTATTTCATGATCATTTGTTAATCTAATAGGCAAGTAGGTGATCATCCTTCTGTCCCTGACACACGCCGTCGACTTTTTGGGTTTAAGGCAAGCAGGTTTACTCACGATGTTTTCCTTCACCGTTCGAGTAAATGTTAAATGCGCACATAGAAAGAAAGTCCATTGGTGCACAGCCGGGGATCGAACCTACGACCTCAGGGATGAGAGTCGCACGCTGAAGCCACTAGGCCAACACTGTTCCTCTTTATGTACCTACAATTAAATGAATAACAGATTTGTTAAGTATATATGTGAAGTCTTTAGGTATGTAGTGAGGTCACGACTCACAACACTTGTGGTTTGACCGGCGTGGATGGCATCTGGAACCGTTCAGTGTTATCGGCAGCCACTGATCCCTCTTACCACTTAATCATTCTTTTCCCTTGCATATGTAGTATGTCAAGGCTTTATCTGTTTTGAAACTTGTATAATATAAATGCGCCTTGAGACTCTGCATATTTTTTTCTATTTCTACTATTTGCTAACCCGTATATTTAAGGAAAATATTGTGAGGAAACTAGCACGTCTACGATCTCGTCATTGTGGACATCTACCTTGGATCAAGAAAAAGAGGAGGCCAAGATTTGTTGTAATGAAAATGAAAATTCATAAAAGTTCAAAATACTTATAACATAAAAATTCAGAAAAATAATTAAGTACATATATTATTTAAGTGGGGATCTCATTTTTGAATCTAGCTTTTAATATAAATCATCTTTTCAGAAGTCTAAGCGAAGAAGAGAAGATGCCATTCATAAAAGAAGCGGAAAAACTACGAAACAAACACAAAAAAGATCACCCGGAATACAAGTATCAGCCGCGCCGCCGGAAACCGCCCCCCACTTCCGCCCGGTTCAAAAGAGAGCCTTCGCCTGACAGGACCCAAATCGACTTTTCTAGAATAGAAATGGACGGCGCACTTTTAGCAGACGGTCCACCTGATGGAGCTGAATTAGACCAATATTTAAAACCTGCGCCGATGCCTGAGTACCACGAGATGCAACCGCGATACACCCACTCGCTAACACACGTTCCTCCCCTCTACACCCCCGTACCTCACTTACACCCCCCTTGCCCCGAATGGCACAATTATCCGGGACATCCATAATAGTAAGATGGAACTGGTTTCATATATCGTATAAAAATTTGTATTCATAGAAACTCGTAGGATTTATTGAACTGGAACAAAGAGACAAAGTTTAGTAAAATTACTAAACATTAACAAAAAATGTAAATTTGAAACACATTAAATGGGATTAAAACTTTTCATTGTTACTTTCATAACAACTTATAATATAATTAATATTGTGGCGGTTTAAGCCAAAAAAGTTTTTGTGATTTAAACAGAAATTAGGTCACAACGCAAAAGACTTTTAGTACTGTTTTTTTGTCACCATATGGATCTTGGTTGCGTCGTCACGCACGTGCGTAATCGTAAGTAAATATTAGTTTTAAAAGTATCCTATTAATGATAAAGCTTAGTAATAGTAAGATAACCTAATTTTCAAACTAAAATGTTCGTGTTCGAATTTATGGAAGCCCCCAATGAGGCATGGGAAAGTTCATATCTGCATATCTTTTATTTTCTTAAGAACTTTAAATTATTGTATAAAACCATACTCCACGAACATGTCGACAATATTTAGAGTTTTTTTTATTGTTAACGTTTGTGAGCTATATTCATAATCAATCTATTGATGTTAAATTTCTTATTTGTTACTTTTTATATTGTTCATCGTAATTTTGTTTTTGAACGTTATTTGTTCCACTGTCAAATATTTCTGTCATCTTAAGCATAAATCATAAGTTTGTAAATAGATATTGATTACCTATAAGTTAGTATAATATGTTCGTTAGTGATATGAATTCTGTAGTTACGTAGATACATATTTATCTCCAAAGTAAATTAGATTCCATTATTATAGTGTACTAAAAGATTGCACAAACTTCACATTCACACGAAAATTAAGATTTTCCTACCACGTGTGTATATGTTAATTAAGTTTCGAATCTTCATTGGTGTGTTAAAATTACATATTCATATACCAATACATACTCTAAACAAAGGTAATTTGAAAATACCCTTGTTCCTGTTGTAAAAAGTCCTTGTAATTTAAAGCCATAAATGTAGTTAGTAGGTAGTAGCACTGACCAGCTAAACCAATGGAATCAGTGATTAGGATTTTATAAATAAGGCTGTTAGTATTTAATATATAAGATACCTTAATCGGCTTGATAAGTTATTGTGATTATAATATCATGTCATTAAATAAAATATTGATAAAATGTGGTGTTAATCTTCATTATTCTATATATGACTTGAAAAATAAATATCTTATCTAAAAGCTAAACCGTTTATTTTTTAACTAATGAAATAATACAATTAAGTAGATACCAACCTGCTTTTGAATGCGTAGACGTTACAGAGAATAGAAGAAGAATTACCTATAATTATTCGTATCGGTAATAGCACAGATTAAAAATATTTTTAAAAAAGGAAAATCATCTTTGAGACGTTCTCGGAACCAAGGATATCATGGCCTCGATGATACCACGACCTCTGACTTCCGGCGGATCGCGCCCCCACAAAGCCTCCCTTGTTCATCTTATCACTTTTCGCTAATGAGACATATTATATCTGAGAAATATATGTGATGTCCACCGATTGATAAGTGTCTTAGGATCTTTGTTTACTAATCTTTATTGATTTCACCCTCAACCTGAGTAGAAAGAAGTCACTATACCAAAATGATAAAAACTAATTATACAATTACTTATCACAAAGAAATAAATTGCTACTACTCTTTACTGTGTACGTTTAGGTTATATAATATATATATGTCATTTTATCGTAGTCTAATACAAGCTACTGAAATATTTAGTCCTTCAGCATATAAAATATACTTTTTTGATATAGTTGACATACTGTATGAATCAGCGAGGCTTATTCTATTCAGTAAATAATATAAAGTGCACACTATTTAAAACACATTACTTAAACTTCACATTATTTAAAACGTTATACATTTCGTATAAAATCGTATTAGGAATAATAAAGAAGCTAACTGCTCATTTTAGCTTGGATAATGGAGACAAAAAATCTAAGAGAATAGAAAAAATAAAGGTCGCTGTTATGAATATGTAATCGAGCGATGGAGATATTAAGATTGAGTGCAAATGATGCGCGCGGCGCGTGCGCCGATCCCAAAGCTCACATTACAGAGGTTCCGCCGACATCCTATACGCAACTTTTTGCCAACACATGAGATATTAATTATTAGGGCGGATAGTTTAACGCTCTATTTTATTTTTGTGGAATTGGTAGACGTTTTGACTGTAATATATTAGTTTACTGAGAATTATATGTATGAAGTTACATTTTAGGACACATTTATTTCGATTTGATTGCAAATTTGAAAACCGACAGATTAAATTTCAGGCTTCAGGGTTTTCAAAAACACTCTACCTCATGCAATACAAAGTTTGACATCCTCAATGGGCTGTTATATAGAATATTGTATTATTTGTTTCCGATAGAACTCTTTGTACTTCATAATTTCTAATGAGCTATTGTGATTCCGATAAGACTGGAATATGCCGTTTAAGACTGTCAAATATAACAATAAGCAGTGCGTATGGTACGGCATCAGTACTTTACCATGTGGCTAAGTGTTTGAGCTCAAGTGGCGAGCGACAGTTCGTGTGAAAGTGAAGCTACCGGACACCAACGTAAGTCGAAACCAACGCGTCTGGGGAGCATCGCTAAGAAATCAATTCCAAATAAGTAGCAACATGTGTACGCTTGAATCATTATATTGGGTTGCGTTTGAAATTCGAGGGCAATGAATTATTGCGTGGTCCTTTGATTAACGATATACATGTACATTTTTTACATACAAATTCGATCTTCAATTGTTATGTAGAATATTGACCATAGGTACAATAAATAAATGATTATTTGTTGGTTTTTCCTAATTTAAGTACCGTATAAAGTACTTGTAAGTGACAAACACAGTAGATCAAAATCATGGTTTATTTAGGAAATACTCTGTAAATAAATAGAAGTGTCACTGCCATTAAAGAGCTTTCAGAGTTCAAAATGACGTTCCTATGAATTAAGGAGTAGTAGGTTTATGTCAATTGTCATTGTTTATTATTTCGAGTTGCGAGTCGCGAGATCAACTTACCGTAGTTTAAATATTATTTTCTAAATTATGTTTGATTATAATAAATCGAATGGGAAAGTTTCAGTACCATAGAATTAGACTTCTTTGAATTGTAAATGTGACTATTAATGGCCAATATAACGAATGGCTGGATTTAGCTGGTGAGACATTATTTTTCCGTATTATCAAGTTCCAATAACTGGCTGCGACTCAACGACTGAACAATTTAGGGTTTTAATTGATTCGTACTTGTCTTTAATTAGAATACATTGATATAGTGCTTCCAGTCATCCATCAAGACTATCATGAAATAGGAATGGTATGTTTATAATTAAAATTTACAAACAGTATTATTTTATAGGTATTTGTCTGAAGGCTTCCAAGTAATAATTGAGAAGTCTAGAGAAGAAAAATGCTCATTAAAAGATGTACAATTGCGTTTTCTGTGCCCTGATGATTTAGAAGAGGTATGTGTATTAAAGATAATTTTGGAATGCAACAGTTTTTTGTGATTTTAATTGAATGAGAATTAAAAAAATTTCAGGTAAGAGCACTATGCAGAGAATGGTTTCCTATAGAATATCCACAATCTTGGTACGAGGATATAACATCCTCTGAGAAATTTTTTGCTCTAGCAGCTGTATATAAGAGTCAAATTATTGGTCTCATAGTTGCCGAGATAAAGCCATATCTCAAGTTAAATGCTGAAGATAGAGGAATACTATCCAGGTGGTTCGCCTCCAAAGATACTCTTGTAGCGTACATACTATCATTAGGTAATTTAAATTGTTTCATTTTTAACTATACATTTATTTGTCCCTGAAAAGTTCTTAGTATTCCAGTCATATCTAATTTGGATGTTTGTTTGAATCCATTATAAATGACATCAATTGGCTTCAATTCCTACTTGTGCCAATAGCAGGACAATTAAAGAAAAAACTTTTTAACCGGATTAAAAAGTTTTATCTTTAAATGTGTAAAGGTTATGTCAATAAAAGACAATACTATGAGCAGGACAATTGTTAATCATAACAAATCTTATTCACTATATTACTAATTAAGTTTGAAATGATTATAGACAATATAGTCTTATTTTGCAGGTGTAGTGCGTTCCTACCGGCGTTCAGGTGTGGCCACATTACTCCTAGATGTATTCTTGAATCATCTTGCAGGCCCAGTGTCTCAGCCTCCTCATGAGCATCGTGTTAAAGCAATTTTTTTACATGTCCTTACTACTAATAAGGAAGCTATACTGTTTTATGAGAAAAAACGGTAAGTATCCTAAATACTCTAACATTGCAAGTCGTTATAAACAGTGGAAATTCTTAACTTAAACAATCTTCAAATACTTGACATCATTACTTACCTATATTATACATGTATATCTTTATTTCAAAAACTGATTTTAATAATACTTGGGCTTCTCCCTAAGTTTGAATATATACAATATATCTTGTGGACAACATAAATATACAATTCCTACAATAGCACATAATCCCAAAAGTTTAAGAGTTTTAATTAATTTTTACTTGCAACTATGCGATGAGTTAAAAAAAAAATTCATTTCAGATTTCACCTACACTCATTCCTTCCCTACTACTATTCCATAAAGGGTAGATGTAAAGATGGATTTACTTATGTGTACTATGTTAATGGTGGACACGCTCCATGGGGCCTCTATGACTATTTCAAATATGTTGCCAGAGCTGCTTTGAGAGGTGGTGGTCTTTACCCTTGGATATGGGGAAAATTTCGTACAGCACTCACAATAGCATGGCACAGATAACCAGTGAGTGACATTTTAAAACATAGACAATTAAAAATGTTTTTGACAGCAAACAGATGTTAGATGTAGACAAACTTATGCTTGTCTTCCAAGTTTTACTATACAGTGACTAAATTTATTAAAACTTGTATATTTTTTTATGAGATTCTGCCTTATTCTACTTAAAGTTTCAGTAATTCATTTTTAATTATCAATATATACCATTATGGCTGTGTACTCTTGCCAGAAAACCTGGGCAGAGACAAATATAAACAGAACAAAGACAATTATTATAAGATGACTGGTATGTAAGAATTTAGTATCAAGATAAATTTAAAATGTATAATTTAAGAAGGTTTTTGTTGTGACTTTACTCAGGTCACTAAACAATGCTATTGTACTTGAAAGGTTTTTCATTTATAATAGAGGCTAATTACATTATAAGAAATTGTAGAAAAAGTTATGCGAACATTTTCTTTATTCTTATTAAACATTGAGTTAAATACAAACCTAAATACATATATACTTTTTTATGAAGCATAGTATAAATTAACAACATAGGTAATTAATATATTATTTTGCAGGCTTTGTGAAAATTATTTATTACACCACCTTTGTGTTTATAGTCAAAGAATGATATTTTTTTTATTATTAACTAACAATATAAGACCCAAATTATACTCCTTTATCAATTTTTTCTTCATTTTATTTTTCGCGCTTGTGTTAAGTCTAAGTAATGTGATGCAACATCAAATATGTTTAAGAAAGGAAGTTGCGTAGGAAATTGCAGTTGTATTGAAATACCATCCTTGAAAGTATTAAACAAATACTTCATTATGGTCAAGGCGTCAATACATATATTTTTGTTCTATCTATGAAAAATGTAATTATATTTTAACATCGAGGTGGTACCTGGTCCTTCTGGTATTATTTTAATCTATTTTAATATAAAAATTGGCACTTAAATGTGACGTCAGCCATTTTATGTGATTTATTAATTTTAATATCTTAATAAATTAAATTTAAATTATCCGTTAACATAATATATAGTAGGTTTTTTCTTATTACTTATTAGAAATATGTACTTTTTGACCCTTTGTATTTTTATTCATATCCAGAACGCACTATATATTAACTGAAATCGACAGTATGGATTGATTCACTGCCAGAGATAAGAGCTGTAGTTAAATATAAGCAGTCTAATGAAACCTCATTAAGAACTTGAATTACTTTAAGAAATAAAATCTAGTCTGGCTGGAATTATGTAAAAAAGAAGGTTATAAAGTTTTAGCTATTCGAATTTTAATTTTTATGAAATTTATCATCTATAGCACGATCTATTCGATTTAATTGTAACATTTGTAATATAGAAACTACTAAGTAAGTGTTGAGTGTAAATGGCGTGGCATGAAATGTTGAATGTGCCTGTGTGTTCACATTAGGTAAATTTGTACCGAGGAGTGCGTTATTAAATGTTAAAATATCATGCAACACATTTCGTAACATGACGTATGTAAATATTTTCTGTATTTCTTTTAAATCAGTATTAACAAAATTCAAATTGGAATAACTGACATAGATGAAGGATCCTTTTTTGTATATGTATTGATTAGCACATAGACAATGACTATAGAAGTAATTCCTAACAGAGAGTATCCTAAGTTTATTTTTATCACTTTTTCGCTTTACTAACGATAATTTTAAATTTAGAATTGTGTCCGATTATAGTTCCCATACCAAAGTCATGTACGTATTTCATTAATAGATTTATATATAAGGAATGGTTATTGACAATTATAGTATTATTTTTATGTGTTTATTTGTGATACGCTAAAAGTCAAAATTATTTATGTCGCGCAATTGAATTTCATCACGATTGAGAAAAGTATTGTTAAATTAATATTTAATTTCTATAATGTAAAATAAATATCATTGTTAACTGTTTCTTTAATTTTATCATCGCCCATGTACAAGAGATCAAACTAAATATTTTTGTTATTAAGAACATATTTTAAAAATCTATATCCGATTTGTCTAAGCTTCTATTAAGAAATCACGAGTGGGAGGGAAGGTGGATAAGTAACGTTGACTTAAACATAATTTCAAATTTAGAATAAGTGTATACGTCCATTACGTTTTGCTTGTTAGCTGAAAATGAAACGAAATGTGTCAGTCTATGACACATTGTCTATGGTCACACAGTCTATGATTTGATGTTTATAAGGTTAAGGCGGCAAGGTGTTAGTAATCCAAAAAAATAATAACAATTTCAGAAATTCTTTAATAATTGCTTTTCATTCAACTATGCTGTACAAACTATACGCTTAAATTAGAATTAGCAATTAATAATTGCACGTAAAAAAACTTAACAAGTAGGTACTTTCAACTTTTCGATTGGAATGAACAATTTCACCTTAAATACATAATTTACATATTTATAAAAACTACGAAATGAAAACTATCAACAAGCAGTCACAATCGCCCAATGATATGTTTTTATGTATTTTTTTATTTTATTGCGTTCTAATTAGATCTATAGCATACGCCGAAGTGTGCGGCATAAATTTCACTACAAAATGGGGCCGCAGCATGTAGCAGGGCGTGCAGACAATGATACTACGACACAAGGTTGCTTCTCTCCATGCCAGCTTTATGGTTGTGCCCCTTGAAGTCTTTGAGACGTATAGGGGACGACTCGCTACCAGAATCACCCTAAAATAAATATATTATGTTTGTAGTTATGTATAAACAAAATAAAAAATCCTCAAGCCATTTGGCCCTGCCTACGGCATAAAACTAACGTTATTTCCAAGCGAGGTGGTCTCCTGCGAGGAGCAGCTCGCTGTCTGTGCCCCGGGACTCTTTGTTCTTAAGTATGGAACGAGACCTGTCTCCCTCAAGGGGCCAGCTCGCCACTCCCGCGCTTATTGCCATTTTTACCTAAAATAAGTCAATAAATATATCTAACAATTTCAATTCTTATTATTAGTTATGTAAACGTTTCAATTAAAAATAAATGTATGTAAGGTCTTTATGATAAATAGATCCACTACAACTTACCAAATAGGATGTGATGGTTAATTATCCTCGTCGCTATCCCTCGAGGCGGTTTCTTCTCATCCTCCGACCACTCCTAGAGTATTTAATAGTGTATTCAGTAAGGTATATATCAGTAAAAGTAATTTGAAAACAAGTGGAAGAAAACAAACTAAGAAAGTAAAGAGTTAAAGATTTATTGGTGCATGCAGGTAATGGTTGGGGCCTCCTAGCTATTTTACTCTTGAATATGGAACTTTGAGACTTCGAATGAACATCATCAAGTGAGAGGTGAAATTTATCGGCAAATTTTGTTGCATCAAGAAGAACTTTTTTGATTTCCATGAAGTAGGAAGGGTAGGAAAAACATTCGGTTCCCCAAAATGCCGTGCACAACATGCTCTGCTGTCCTAGTCACCCAGCCTATCAGCCTGCTGGTAAATCCGCCACCGATAAGCTTACCAATTAAAGACGAGTCAACGCCAATATAATATTCTATTTGGCGAATTTTTCCTACATAGATTTTTAATGCTAAATTGTTGTGCAATATTGTTAATGGCTGAACTAATAAAAGTTATTTTGTTTCAGAGGTGGAGGTTGTATTCGACGGCCACACGTCAAACGTCCTATGAATGCCTTCATGGTGTTCGCACAAGCCCTGCGCAAGCGCCTATCAGAGCAGAGACCATCTTTACACAACGCCGAACTTAGCAAATCACTTGGATCTATGGGAAGTTAGTATATTTATATCACGCAAAAACTATGGCTCAATTTATATATTGTAGTAACTTTAGAAGGTTTTTCTTTTTTCATTTCAATAGCAACTACAAAAAGTTAATTAATTATGTATTGAACTAAAACAAATTATTAGATCTTTTTCTTTTTCTTAGATCTTCCGACGGTAACCCTTATAAAACGTAATGTACTAATAAACTATACAATTTTTCAGAACTATAACAGAAAAATAATTAAATTAATCTGTTACCTTGCGTGATGTAAAAAAATTATGAATTGTACCAAAAAATTAATAACTCATGCAGCTCTACAAGGCTCACGACCTCACTGCTCACATCTTAGGGCCGGTGCTCCCCAAATCCCAGCTTCTTTTTCGAAGACCTTCGATTCTTCTTTGAAATTCAGCGAAAGGCTTGTGGAATTGTCAATCTCCAACGTATTACTGATCGGCTTGACTCTCTCTTACACAGAGACATTGCGAACCAGCGAACTGTGGAATCGACTCCCGATTAGGTCTTCTGCGAGATAAGACCTCAAATTGTTTTAAAAACGAGTATACTCCTCTCTAAAAAGGCCTGGCGCACCCACATATATTAGTATCCATGGACTGCGATGGCTGCCCTTTTTGGGCGTCCCATTGGCTAGGCTTGTTTGCCATTATCGTAAAAAAGAAGTTTACTTTTAACGGCGTTACATACATTCAAATACCTAATATATGTTACCTGTTATTAAAACACATATAGCTTTAAATTCTGGTTACAACTTAACAAGCATCAGTAAGCTTTCTACTAACCAAAGTATTATTAAAAATACAAATACAAAACAAAACTTTAAATTATTTTTAATCGTCTCGTAGTTATAGTATGAATTAAGTTAAGTTATGGTCCTATAGAAAAAAAACAAAAATAACTTTAAGCTTAATAGGGGCGCTTGTTAAAATGTCATCTTACGCCTTTTGACAACTAACGTGCTCACAGAAGATATATTTGACAGCGGTAACGTCTTCCCTGGCTACAGTAATATCTAAGCCCTTATGACCATTTGCCCTTATTAAAGCTAATTCTAAAATTGAAAAGAAATGCAAGCAATGGCCCGTGCGTGCGGCGTCCAACCGTGAAACGCATCGATTGTTTACTCATTAAAATGCTATCACCGCTAACATTGTTGTGATAAGATCTTTAACTGTCCTGAATTTAAGAGACCACTAATGATCTGTGTTTATAGTTATACTTTTATAGAATTTTTATATCTACATATAATGTAGTTTTAACCTCGGCAACTTAGTACTTAAAACAAACAAAAACTACATGCTTTAAAAATGGGTGATATACCGTGTTCGCTATTTAGGGTTTGTATTTAAAACTTCTCAATATATGTATATTATAGGTGATATAATACATTTATGTCATTAATCTATAAACGATATAACTATGAGTGATACATATAACGATAATAACCTTAAAATTATAACATAATAACTAAAATATATAACTAAAAGGAGTCCCTTTAGGCAAGGTTCCGATGATACTGGCAGCGTTGCCCTTTGAATAGCTAGACCAATTCTTTTTTATATCTTTTAAATACATGCAAGTGGGCCAAATCGAAATCACTTATTTTAGATCGTAAAATAAGCCTTATATATCTCATATGTTAGTTATTGTACAGTACATAGGAATTATGATATTTGTAATTTAAGTTTAGTTTACGTAGTTTCGACTTCACACATCCTCAATTTCCATTCTATGGCTGCCTGGAAAAAGATCGCTTGTTCGATCGCGCTATGGCTGTCCCTTTCCCTCTTATTTACTCACTCAGATTATTTGTACCTATTTCAAAGCGATCATATATGTTGGATGTTGGATTTATTATTATAAAATAACATCCCCTTTTATATAACGATTTGAGAATTTATCTTAGTAGATTGCTTTCCTCGCTGAACGAATAAGTATACAGCGAGGATAATTGCTGCCAGCATTAAATTTTGCCATAGGGACCAAATTTTTAAATTTGTTTTAATTTTTTATTAATCCATTTTTAATTATTATGATTACTATGTAGGTTAAGAATATTATAAATATTGTATATTTGTGTGTTGAAAATAAATGTATGAGATCTTAGGGAAGTACTGAACTCTTTAATATTAATGAATTGTACATTGTCTTGGTAAAGCTTCTGTTGTCGCGAACACAATCGGTCCCAATACTGGATGCTAGTCAGTACTCTTTCGTGCAACAGAGTTCCATCTACAAAATAAATAATTTCCCGAAGGATTTACTATCTAAATAGAAAATTTTATTAATCAATGCTAATTTTACTAACCTGCCAGGCCACCCACGAAGTTACCTTCAACATTGACATGCCATCTTTGCGGCTCACGAAAAGAAACGCGGTGAAAATAAAGGCTCTTATTGATCCGTTATGTAACATACTCTCATTCTATTTTTTAGAATATTTTAGACGTTACTATCATATCGTTGAAAAGTAATCAGGTGTTACCCCCTCAATAGAGAACTATTGCAAAACTACCATTAAGGAAATAGTTGATTGGTACTTCGTACGTTAATCATGCGAGATATTCTAGTTAAAAATTCCTTGCTTTACCAGAATCACACAATTATTTATAGGCATGATCAGTTTTCTTTCACACATGTCGTCAATTTTCATTTTTTAAATGAGATCTAAGAATTACCGTTTCCTCACAATTCCATTTCCCTTAGTGACGTTTGCGCTCATATCTATACAAAATGGTGCAGGTCCTATCTATCCAAGGTCCGGAATACACGAGTTGGAATACACTAAGCTAACATTGATGTTCGTCTTTATAAACTCAAATAAATCAATGGCGCTACAGCCGTTTTTAGGTCTGCGCCTCAGATGCCTGTATCTATTTCATGATCATTTGTTAATCTAATAGGCAAGTAGGTGATCAGCCGTCTGTCCCTGACACACGCCGTCGACTTTTGGGTTTAAGGCAAGCCGGTTTCCTCACGATGTTTTCCTTCACCGTTCGAGTAAATGTTAAATGCGCACATAGAAAGAAAGTCCATTGGTGCACAGCCGGGGATCGAACCTACGACCTCAGGGATGAGAGTCGCACGCTGAAGCCACTAGGCCAACACTGTTCCTCTTTATGTACCTACAATTAAATGAATAACAGATTTGTTAAGTATATATGTGAAGTCTTTAGGTATGTAGTGAGGTCACGACTCACAACACTTGTGGTTTGACCGGCGTGGATGGCATCTGGAACCGTTCAGTGTTATCGGCAGCCACTGATCCCTCTTACCACTTAATCATTCTTTCCTTGCATATGTAGTATGTCAAGGCTTTATCTGTTTTGAAACTTGTATAATATAAATGCGCCTTGAGACTCTTCATATTTTTTTCTATTTCTACTATTTGCTAACCCGTATATTTAAGGTAAATATTGTGAGGAAACTAGCACGTCTACGATCTCGTCATTGTGGACAACTACCTGGATCAAGAAAAAGAGGAGGCCAAGATTTGTTGTAATGAAAATGAAAATTCATAAAAGTTCAAAATACTTATAACATAAAAAATTCAGAAAAATAATTAAGTACATATATTATTTAAGTGGGGATCTCATTTTTGAATCTAGCTTTTAATATAAATCATCTTTTCAGAAGTCTAAGCGAAGAAGAGAAGATGCCATTCATAAAAGAAGCGGAAAAACTACGAAACAAACACAAAAAAGATCACCCGGAATACAAGTATCAGCCGCGCCGCCGGAAACCGCCCCCCACTTCCGCCCGGTTCAAAAGAGAGCCTTCGCCTGACAGGACCCAAATCGACTTTTCTAGAATAGAAATGGACGGCGCACTTTTTAGCAGACGGTCCACCTGATGGAGCTGAATTAGACCAATATTTAAAACCTGCGCCGATGCCTGAGTACCACGAGATGCAACCGCGATACACCCACTCGCTAACCACGTTCCTCCCTCTACACCCCCGTACCTCACTTACACTCCCTTGCCCCGAATGGCACAATTATCCGGGACATCCATAATAGTAAGATGGAACTGGTTTCTATATATCGTATAAAAATTTGTATTCATAGAAACTCGTAGGATTTATTGAACTGAACAAGAGACAAAGTTTAGTAAAATTACTAAACATTAACAAAAAATGTAAATTTGAAACACATTAAATGGGATTAAAACTTTCATTGTTACTTTATAACAACTTATAATATAATTAATATTGTGGCGGTTTAAGCCAAAAAAGTTTTTGTGATTTAAACAGAAATTAGGTCACAACGCAAAAGACTTTTAGTACTGTTTTTTTGTCACCATATGGATCTTGGTTGCGTCGTCACGCACGTGCGTAATCGTAAGTAAATATTAGTTTTAAAAGTATCCTATTAATGATAAAGCTTAGTAATAGTAAGATAACCCTAATTTTCAAACTAAAATGTTCGTGTTCGAATTTATGGAAGCCCCCAATGAGGCATGGGAAAGTTCATATCTGCATATCTTTTATTTTCTTAAGAACTTCAAATTATTGTATAAAACCATACTCCACGAACATGTCGGCCATATTTAGAGTTTTTTTTATTGTTAACGTTTGTGAGCTATATTCATAATCAATCTATTGATGTTAAATTTCTTATTTGTTACTTTTTATATTGTTCATCGTAATTTTGTTTTTGAACGTTATTTGTTCCACTGTCAAATATTTCTGTCATCTTAAGCATAAATCATAAGTTTGTAAATAGATATTGATTACCTATAAGTTAGTATATGTTCGTTAGTGATATGAATTCTGTAGTTACGTAGATACATATTTATCTCCAAAGTAAATTAGATTCCATTATTATAGTGTACTAAAAGATTGCACAAACTTCACATTCACACGAAAATTAAGATTTTCCTACCATGTGTATATGTTAATTAAGTTTCGAATCTTCATTGGTGTTTAAAATTACATATTCATATACCAATACATACTCTAAACAAAGGTAATTTGAAAATACCCTTGTTCCTGTTGTAAAAAGTCCTTGTAATTTAAAGCCATAAATGTAGTTAGTAGGTAGTAGCACTGACCAGCTAAACCAATGGAATCAGTGATTAGGATTTTATAAATAAGGCTGTTAGTATTTAATATATAAGATACCTTAATCGGCTTGATAAGTTATTGTGATTATAATATCATGTCATTAAATAAAATATTGATAAAATGTGGTGTTAATCTTCATTATTCTATATATGACTTGAAAAATAAATATCTTATCTAAAAGCTAAACCGTTTATTTTTAACTAATGAAATAATACAATTAAGTAGATACCAACCTGCTTTTGAATGCGTAGACGTTACAGAGAATAGAAGAAGAATTACCTACTAATTATTCGTATCGGTAATAGCACAGATTAAAAAATATTTTTAAAAAAGGAAAATCATCTTTGAGACGTTCTCGGAACCAAGGATATCATGGCCTCGATGATACCACGACCTCTGACTTCCGGCGGATCGCGCCCCCACAAAGCCTCCCTTGTTCATCTTATCACTTTTCGCTAATGAGACATATTATATCTGAGAAATATATGTGATGTCCACCGATTGATAAGTGTCTTAGGATCTTTGTTTACTAATCTTTATTGATTTCACCCTCAACCTGAGTAGAGAAAGTCACTATACCAAAATGATAAAAACTAATTATACAATTATCACAAAGAAATAAATTGCTACTACTCCTTTACTGTGTACGTTTAGGTTATAATATATATATATATGTCATTTTATCGTAGTCTAATACAAGCTACTGAAATATTTAGTCCTTCAGCATATAAAATATACTTTTTTGATATAGTTGACATACTGTATGAATCAGCGAGGCTTATTCTATTCAGTAAATAATATAAAGTGCACACTATTTAAAACACATTACTTAAACTTCACATTATTTAAAACGTTATACATTTCGTATAAAATCGTATTAGGAATAATAAAGAAGCTAACTGCTCATTTTAGCTTGGATAATGGAGACAAAAAATCTAAGAGAATAGAAAAAATAAAGGTCGCTGTTATGAATATGTAATCGAGCGATGGAGATATTAAGATTGAGTGCAAATGATGCGCGCGGCGCGTGCGCCGATCCCAAAGCTCACATTACAGAGGTTCCGCCGACATCCTATACGCAACTTTTTGCCAACACATGAGATATTAATTATTAGGGCGGATAGTTTAACGCTCTATTTTATTTTTGTGGAATTGGTAGACGTTTTGACTGTAATATATTAGTTTACTGAGAATTATATGTATGAAGTTACATTTTAGGACACATTTATTTCGATTTGATTGCAAATTTGAAAACCGACAGATTAAATTTCAGGCTTCAGGGTTTTCAAAAACACTCTACCTCATGCAATACAAAGTTTGACATCCTCAATGGGCTGTTATATAGAATATTGTATTATTTGTTTCCGATAGAACTCTTTGTACTTCATAATTTCTAATGAGCTATTGTGATTCCGATAAGACTGGAATATGCCGTTTAAGACTGTCAAATATAACAATAAGCAGTGCGTATGGTACGGCATCAGTACTTTACCATGTGGCTAAGTGTTTGAGCTCAAGTGGCGAGCGACAGTTCGTGTGAAAGTGAAGCTACCGGACACCAACGTAAGTCGAAACCAACGCGTCTGGGGAGCATCGCTAAGAAATCAATTCCAAATAAGTAGCAACATGTGTACGCTTGAATCATTATATTGGGTTGCGTTTGAAATTCGAGGGCAATGAATTATTGCGTGGTCCTTTGATTAACGATATACATGTACATTTTTTACATACAAATTCGATCTTCAATTGTTATGTAGAATATTGACCATAGGTACAATAAATAAATGATTATTTGTTGGTTTTTTCCTAATTTAAGTACCGTATAAAGTACTTGTAAGTGACAAACACAGTAGATCAAAATCATGGTTTATTTAGGAAATACTCTGTAAATAAATAGAAGTGTCACTGCCATTAAAGAGCTTTCAGAGTTCAAAATGACGTTCCTATGAATTAAGGAGTAGTAGTAGGTTTATGTCAATTGTCATTGTTTATTATTTCGAGTTGCGAGATCAACTTACCGTAGTTTAAATATTATTTTCTAAATTATGTTTGATTATAATAAATCGAATGGGAAAGTTTCAGTACCATAGAATTAGACTTCTTTGAATTGTAAATGTGACTATTAATGGCCAATATAACGAATGGCTGGATTTAGCTGGTGAGACATTATTTTTCCGTATCTTTTATTATCAAGTTCCAATAACTGGCTGCGACTCAACGACTGAACAATTTAGGGTTTTAATTGATTCGTACTTGTCTTTAATTAGAATACATTGATATAGTGCTTCCAGTCATCCATCAAGACTATCATGAAATAGGAATGGTATGTTTATAATTAAAATTTACAAACAGTATTATTTTATAGGTATTTGTCTGAAGGCTTCCAAGTAATAATTGAGAAGTCTAGAGAAGAAAAATGCTCATTAAAAGATGTACAATTGCGTTTTCTGTGCCCTGATGATTTAGAAGAGGTATGTGTATTAAAGATAATTTTGGAATGCAACAGTTTTTTGTGATTTTAATTGAATGAGAATTAAAAAATTTCAGGTAAGAGCACTATGCAGAGAATGGTTTCCTATAGAATATCCACAATCTTGGTACGAGGATATAACATCCTCTGAGAAATTTTTTGCTCTAGCAGCTGTATATAAGAGTCAAATTATTGGTCTCATAGTTGCCGAGATAAAGCCATATCTCAAGTTAAATGCTGAAGATAGAGGAATACTATCCAGGTGGTTCGCCTCCAAAGATACTCTTGTAGCGTACATACTATCATTAGGTAATTTAAATTGTTTCATTTTAACTATACATTTATTTGTCCCTGAAAAGTTCTTAGTATTCCAGTCATATCTAATTTGGATGTTTGTTTGAATCCATTATAAATGACATCAATTGGCTTCAATTCCTAATTGTGCCAATAGCAGGACAATTAAAGAAAAAACTTTTTAACCGGATTAAAAAGTTTTATCTTTAAATGTGTAAAGGTTATGTCAATAAAAGACAATACTATGAGCAGGACAATTGTTAATCATAACAAATCTTATTCACTATATTACTAATTAAGTTTGAAATGATTATAGACAATATAGTCTTATTTTGCAGGTGTAGTGCGTTCCTACCGGCGTTCAGGTGTGGCCACATTACTCCTAGATGTATTCTTGAATCATCTTGCAGGCCCAGTGTCTCAGCCTCCTCATGAGCATCGTGTTAAAGCAATTTTTTTACATGTCCTTACTACTAATAAGGAAGCTATACTGTTTTATGAGAAAAAACGGTAAGTATCCTAAATACTCTAACATTGCAAGTCGTTATAAACAGTGGAAATTCTTAACTTAAACAATCTTCAAATACTTGACATCATTACTTACCTATATTATACATGTATATCTTTATTTCAAAAACTGATTTTAATAATACTTGGGCTTCTCCCTAAGTTTGAATATATACAATATATCTTGTGGACAACATAAATATACAATTCCTACAATAGCACATAATCCCAAAAGTTTAAGAGTTTTAATTAATTTTTACTTGCAACTATGCGATGAGTTAAAAAAAAAATTCATTTCAGATTTCACCTACACTCATTCCTTCCCTACTACTATTCCATAAAGGGTAGATGTAAAGATGGATTTACTTATGTGTACTATGTTAATGGTGGACACGCTCCATGGGGCCTCTATGACTATTTCAAATATGTTGCCAGAGCTGCTTTGAGAGGTGGTGGTCTTTACCCTTGGATATGGGGAAAATTTCGTACAGCACTCACAATAGCATGGCACAGATAACCAGTGAGTGACATTTTAAAACATAGACAATTAAAAATGTTTTTGACAGCAAACAGATGTTAGATGTAGACAAACTTATGCTTGTCTTCCAAGTTTTACTATACAGTGACTAAATTTATTAAAACTTGTATATTTTTTTATGAGATTCTGCCTTATTCTACTTAAAGTTTCAGTAATTCATTTTTAATTATCAATATATACCATTATGGCTGTGTACTCTTGCCAGAAAACCTGGGCAGAGACAAATATAAACAGAACAAAGACAATTATTATAAGATGACTGGTATGTAAGAATTTAGTATCAAGATAAATTTAAAATGTATAATTTAAGAAGGTTTTTGTTGTGACTTTACTCAGGTCACTAAACAATGCTATTGTACTTGAAAGGTTTTTCATTTATAATAGAGGCTAATTACATTATAAGAAATTGTAGAAAAAGTTATGCGAACATTTTCTTTATTCTTATTAAACATTGAGTTAAATACAAACCTAAATACATATATACTTTTTTATGAAGCATAGTATAAATTAACAACATAGGTAATTAATATATTATTTTGCAGGCTTTGTGAAAATTATTTATTACACCACCTTTGTGTTTATAGTCAAAGAATGATATTTTTTTTATTATTAACTAACAATATAAGACCCAAATTATACTCCTTTATCAATTTTTTTTCTTCATTTTATTTTTCGCGCTTGTGTTAAGTCTAAGTAATGTGATGCAACATCAAATATGTTTAAGAAAGGAAGTTGCGTAGGAAATTGCAGTTGTATTGAAATACCATCCTTGAAAGTATTAAACAAATACTTCATTATGGTCAAGGCGTCAATACATATATTTTTGTTCTATCTATGAAAAATGTAATTATATTTTAACATCGAGGTGGTACCTGGTCCTTCTGGTATTATTTTAATCTATTTTAATATAAAAATTGGCACTTAAATGTGACGTCAGCCATTTTATGTGATTCATTAATTTTAATATCTTAATAAATTAAATTTAAATTATCCGTTAACGTAATATATAGTAGGTTTTTTCTTATTACTTATTAGAAATATGTACTTTTTGACCCTTTGTATTTTTATTCATATCCAGAACGCACTATATATTAACTGAAATCGACAGTATGGATTGATTCACTGCCAGAGATAAGAGCTGTAGTTAAATATAAGCAGTCTAATGAAACCTCATTAAGAACTTGAATTACTTTAAGAAATAAAATCTAGTCTGGCTGGAATTATGTAAAAAAGAAGGTTATAAAGTTTTAGCTATTCGAATTTTAATTTTATGAAATTTATCATCTATAGCACGATCTATTCGATTTAATTGTAACATTTGTAATATAGAAACTACTAAGTAAGTGTTGAGTGTAAATGGCGTGGCATGAAATGTTGAATGTGCCTGTGTGTTCACATTAGGTAAATTTGTACCGAGGAGTGCGTTATTAAATGTTAAAATATCATGCAACACATTTCGTAACATGACGTATGTAAATATTTTCTGTATTTCTTTTAAATCAGTATTAACAAAATTCAAATTGGAATAACTGACATAGATGAAGGATCCTTTTTTGTATATGTATTGATTAGCACATAGACAATGACTATAGAAGTAATTCCTAACAGAGAGTATCCTAAGTTTATTTTTATCACTTTTTCGCTTTACTAACGATAATTTTAAATTTAGAATTGTGTCCGATTATAGTTCCCATACCAAAGTCATGTACGTATTTCATTAATAGATTTATATATAAGGAATGGTTATTGACAATTATAGTATTATTTTTATGTGTTTATTTGTGATACGCTAAAAGTCAAAATTATTTATGTCGCGCAATTGAATTTCATCACGATTGAGAAAAGTATTGTTAAATTAATATTTAATTTCTATAATGTAAAATAAATATCATTGTTAACTGTTTCTTTAATTTTATCATCGCCCATGTACAAGAGATCAAACTAAATATTTTTGTTATTAAGAACATATTTTAAAAATCTATATCCGATTTGTCTAAGCTTCTATTAAGAAATCACGAGTGGGAGTTGGAAGGTGGATAAGTAACGTTGACTTAAACATAATTTCAAATTTAGAATAAGTGTATACGTCCATTACGTTTTTGGTTGTTAGCCGAAAATGAAACGAAATGTGTCAGTCTATGACACATTGTCTATGGTCACACAGTCTATGATTTGATGTTTATAAGGTTAAGGCGGCAAGGTGTTAGTAATCCAAAAAAAATAATAACAATTTCAGAAATTCTTTAATAATTGCTTTTCATTCAACTATGCTGTACAAACTATACGCTTAAATTAGAATTAGCAATTAATAATTGCACGTAAAAAACTTAACAAGTAGGTACTTTCAACTTTTCGATTGGAATGAACAATTTCACCTTAAATACATAATTTACATATTTATAAAACTACGAAATGAAAACTATCAACAAGCAGTCACAATCGCCCAATGATATGTTTTTTATGTATTTTTTTTGTTTTATTGCGTTCTAATTAGATCTATAGCATACGCCGAAGTGTGCGGCATAAATTTCACTACAAAATGGGGCCGCAGCATGTAGCAGGGCGTGCAGACAATGATACTACGACACAAGGTTGCTTCTCTCCATGCCAGCTTTATGGTTGTGCCCCTTGAAGTCTTTGAGACGTATAGGGGACGACTCGCTACCAGAATCACCCTAAAATAAATATATTAAGTTTGTAGTTATGTATAAACAAAATAAAAAATTCCTCAAGCCATTTGGCCCTGCCTACGGCATAAAAACTAACGTTATTTCCAAGCGAGGTGGTCTCCTGCAGGAGCAGCTCGCTGTCTGTGCCCCGGGACTCTTTGTTCTTAAGTATGGAACGAGACCTGTCTCCCTCAAGGGGCCAGCCGCCACTCCCGCGCTTATTGCCATTTTTACCTAAAAATAAGTCAATAAATATATCTAACAATTTCTCAATTTTTTATTATTAGTTATGTAAACGTTTCAATTAAAAATAAATGTATGTAAGGTCTTTATGATAAATAGATCCACTACAACTTACCAAATAGGATGTGATGGTTAATTATCCTCGTCGCTATCCCTCGAGGCGGTTTCTTCTCCTCCTCCGACCACTCCTAGAGTATTTAATAGTGTATTCAGTAAGGTATATATCAGTAAAAAGTAATTTGAAAAACAAGTGGAAGAAAACAAACTAAGAAAGTAAAGAGTTAAAGATTTATTGGTGCATGCAGGTAACGAAGAAGACAATGGTAAGTCCTGGAACGTGCAAACATACGAAGGACGATACGAACATAGATTCGACATGTCAACAAAAATTCTGTACCCCAAAGCCAATACTGTCTCGGTTGGTATGTTTGAACCGCGTTGTCTTCGTCGTGAGAGGGCCAGCGAAGGCGTTGACTGACCTGCTGAAATCTTGCTTTTCTATGTTTGGGCTTGGAATCGTCTGCGGGGGATTCCTCTAGCTGAGCCAGGCTGGCTCGAGAGGAGTACAGCGGCAGTGGCTCTGCCGTCGCTGCACTAGCGACCGCTCCGACCGCGCTCAAACTGGCTCTGGAGCCACGCGGCGAGCTATTGGCCTGCGAATCTTTCGCACATAAGACGCCCCCATCACCAGAAGCACTTCTGCAAACCCCCGCACCCTCGCCGCTCCCCCCCGCTAACGTCCAGCGGATTCACATACAAGTTTGAGGAGTCGATCTCGCACGTGATGTCGCCCTCTGAAGGAAAAGGGTGCGTAAGGCATGATGCAAATGTATCTGCAACGCAAGACAGACCCATATGGAGCCGAGCACACCCAACTCGCGAGAGTCAAGAGTGCTCTAGTAATTGTGCATTAACAATTAGTGGTAAAAATAGAGTGGAAATGCTTAACATAACACGGTGCGATTGGACGTAACCGACACAAAGTATTTTCTGTCTTCATCAAGGAAGGACGGGGCTCTGGTTATTGTACAGTTTTAAATAGGAAAGAGTACTTACCGGGGCTATCGAGACTGTTAGGAGTTGCTTCAGGTAGCGCGCGCGGTGCCGGGTGTCTCTGCAAACAAGCCAATTCTACGCAAACTGGCTGTCGCAAATCTGATGTAGACATTGGCATAAGCTGTTCAGCATCTATGAACTCTTTATAACCCTGAAAATGTTAAGGTAAACAAGTTAAAAAAAAGGACGAAAAAACTTAAACTGCTAGACAAAGGGTAAGAACCTTTCGAACGATATAAATCTATACAGAATTCATATATTATAATACTATGTATATGTCGCAGCCAATTAGATTAATAAGCCGTTCAATTAACAGCCTAGCCTCTTAACTAAACAGCGCTGTTAACTAGCGGCCTGAAAGATAATCAGCTAGTTGATTAAACTGCTAGGCAAATGACTTGGATCGATGACGTTTCATTACTTGCCTAGCCTGTTGACTGTTAATATAATTTAGTTCCACTTTCTGCCACCTAGCGTCGAAACTCTTCGAACTGTCACTGGTCGGCCAATCACAACTTTGATGCTGATTTCCAAAGTTTAATGAAAAAGAACAAGTACAATGGAAGAGTGTAGTGACAATAATATTGTGGCTGCGACATATTATGAAAAAAAAATCAGTGGCGCTTTAACCTCTTTAGGTCTGGGCCTCAGATTTCTGAATCTGTTTCATGATCATTTTTCAATCTAATAGGCAAGTAGATGATCAGCCTCCAGTGCCTGACACACGCCGTCGGCTTTTTGGGTCTAAGACACGATATTTTCCTTCACCGTTCGAGCGATGATAAATGCGCACATAGAGAGAAAGTCCATTGGTGCACAGCCGGGGATCGAACCTATGACCTCAGGGATGAGAGTCGCACGCTTAAGCCACCACTGCTCGACATATTATGAACTGAGTAATATATTACGAAGTTTAAAGGCGGAAACATACTACCAAAACGCGACGCTACACCACGCCATCCGACGCATGTCAGTACTTATCAATCCAATATATTTAATATGGTCAGATGCACATAGACAACACGCCATGTGATCACACGCGGTAACATCCAATCGATTTGGATCGGCGTGTTGTCGTGTTGTTGACGCCAAGCGTCAAACGTTCGAGTTTTTGGCACAAATGTCAATTGTCAGCTAAATGACTTCTGAATTTGCAAGTGTGTCGTGGTGTCGCGTGTTGGTAATGTGCACGATGGACATCGGGTGTCGACACGTTGCGTCGCGTGGCGTTTTAGTAGTATGTTTCCACCTTAATGCTTCGCTATTGTCTAAGTTTGCTGAGTTGAGGCACTTTCATTTTTAATTACACCGTTAGGTTCACAATGCTTTAATTTTGTTGAAAGAGAAAAACTAATGACTAAATTAAAGTTAGTAGGAAATATTAAAGTTAGTTCATTTAGTACCTTAAACGTGCAAAAACAACATTCAAACTCTGAAGGCAGCTGTTCCAAGTCAAGCTGTTTTTCAGCCATCTTCTTCTCCTAGAAAAGAAAAATATTAGTGGTTAATTTCCGCTCACTACTTTAAGGCAAGGGAATGTCGATGTTAATGAATGCCTAGTTTTCCAAATAATTATTATTAATTGGTTATTTAAATTATGTGAAAGAAATTGTGTGTGAGTTCTTTAAGAATGTTAACAAAAGACTCGAAAATATAACAGAAAAATACATATAATTTATAAAAGATAACATCTACACTGATATAGTTCTAGCTTAAGAAGAAAAGTTTAGTACAAAGATCTATAAGTACAAAATTCTACTCAGCAGGCACTAGCACAAAGGACTTGGTGAATATCTTACTGGTGTTTGTTCAGGGTTTATGAGCAAGCGTTTTTCCGGTGAGCCCAAGCCTTCTGCCGAGAAGCGACGATCCGTCTTAGGACTACTCTGAAACTACAACTTAATAATTTAAAAGCGAATACCAAAGGAGAGTACCTCTAATCTACGGCGCAGATTACGTGAGTTACTTTTTCGTACCACATCTACATACGGTAATGCGTAATATAATACAAAATTTAGGGCTTATATTACAGATACCGGCAAACTTCTTGAGCATTAAACAAGGGAGTGGGGGAAAGTTTGCGCATCGCGGGACACAAACAAGGACATTTTTTTCAAGATGTTTGCCGGAATCTGTACCCGTTATTAAATGTAAAGCTTTATCAAAATAATCTCATGTTCGCAAAGAAATTAGGCCCGTGGGACTTAAATTCTGTTCAGTCTATTAGAGATTACCTGAAGAGGATCAGCCTGTGGCATCCTATCGGCGATAGCATGTTCATATTGCTTGTAGCAGCCGGAGTTGGGCGGCGCTTCACCTTCCAGACTTGTGCCGTCCGCCTGGGACAAGTTGTGTCCTGGAGACACATACCATTCATAAGTAGCCACGTATCCCTTCAGCAGTGTCAACATCCCCTTAAGCTCTTTTAACCTTGGCTATGCATGATACGATAAATTAGCGATAGTTATTAACGAATGACGTAAATAGCAGCGTGAATACACAACACACATTCCACACAACAGTCTAAAATTCAGCGTCCTCCGGATACACACAACAGACAGTCCACAGGAGAAATGGGAGTTAGTTTTATGAAGCGTTAGGCTTACGCTGACAATGTAATCGACCTTAGGTAAAGTGTCTTCGTCGCACATCGCAAGCTACACGCGACGCGAACCCGACCCCGAGCTACTATACTAATTAGGGGCCGAGTACGACTGCGATAGTAGTAAGTAGCTCATCTCGCGTCGTCTCTTGCCTCAATGAGGACGCATTTGTCACCTGAAGACAAGGAATAAACATACTCTGAATGCACCTCTTCGCATTGGACGAGTTAACATAGCTGTAGCTGCGATGTAACGTGAACTTTTTTTATATTTGAGTCAAAATGTCTGCGAGTCCGGAGAGCGGTACTATGCGAAGTGCACGCAACGTAGTACGACGCTTACAATCATTTCTACGAACATTAGAAATTAGCACAGACCACAAGAAGCTTGCATGCAAAGGTGACCATACCGAGCAGAAAACACATGACATGGTAAAGCGTCAGCAACGAGCGTAACTCGAACTACTGACCTGTGTCGACGATGACGTCGATGAGGTCCATGCTCTTGGCAAACGCATCTCGTAAGTTTATGTGGTGGAAGGAGACAATGGAACCCTCGCGCTTGGCACGCTCCAGCGCCTCGCGACGCTTAAGCGCCTTCTCGCGCCTCATCTGGTTCTTGTAAAACTCGGCGAAATTGTTGACGATTATAGGGATGGGTAACGCAATTACCAGCACGCCACAAATGCAGCATACTGATCCGATAACTTTGCCCAGAGGCGTAGTTGGATAGATGTCCCCATACCCCACTGTGGTCATAGTAATGCCGGCCCACCAAAATGTTTCAGGTATCGAAATGAATTTAGTCCCTGGCTCCTCTTTCTCCGCGAAATAAGCCAGTGATGAAAAAATGAGAACTCCCATCGCAAGAAACAACATTAAAAGTCCGAGTTCCTTATAAGAATTCCTAAGTGTAAAACCTAGAGACTGCAGGCCGGTAGAATGTCGGGCGAGTTTTAGGATACGTAATATTCGCATAATACGAAATATTTGGACAACGCGGCGCACGTCTTGAAATTGGTCCGTTGCATTTTTGTTTGTTTCTAGAAGAAATAGGGAAACGAAGTATGGCAATATCGCCAGCAAATCTATCACGTTAAGTCCACCTTTGAAAAATTTCCACTTATCCGGTGACGCACTAAATCGTAGCACATACTCGAGGGTAAACCACGTGATACACACGGCTTCGATCATCGCTAGCTGCGGGTTGTCCATCGGGGTGCCGTTCTCATCCGAGACTTGCATCTGAGGTATTGTGTTGAGAGTGAGCCCTATCGTGGACAGCACGATGAAGAGGATTGAAATGACGGCGATAACCTGCAATTACGCACTGATTCAGCTGCTTGTTCTCCTAGCTTTCATCCTTGTATGTACATGACGTCTTTGGGTATAGGAGTTAACATGATGCTTATGTAAATAATGCCGTTAAAAGTACAACATTAATTACAGTAGTATCTTGTAAGAGTTGGGTATTATTGTATAGAACATGTTAGAATGCGTGTATGTATTTACAAGGTAAGTACTTAAACGTGTAATTAATTGTTGTATGTAATAACTACGTTTAGTTTCTAGTTAGATTACCAAGAAGTAGTTTCGGTGTAAAAATAACATCTATTTGTGAAGATATGTAACAGTAGTATTGTGTGAATGTGGTGAAAGTAAGATTTTAGTATAATCAGTTTGTAGTATTAAACGAAAAAGATGTGTGATCAATTTTATTAGGAGCTGAATATTTCTGAGAGATCTTTCCAATTAACAAGTTAAAACTTCTTCGTTTAATACTGTATTAATGTTAGTAGTTAGTACGATAAAGCGAAAGCGTTAGACAGTTGGATGTATCAGGTAAGTATACAAGGATATGTGAAAATGTTGTGGAGTAGAAGAGGGTAGTCTGCAAAACGACACTCGGCCTTAGTGAGAAACAGCGCGGGCGCAGCAGACGCCCGCAATCGTTAGGCAACGACCGAGGGCGACAGTTGTCCCGTGCCGCAGCGCACGCAAGCCTTAGAGTGACGTCAGCAACGCCTGGTCACATTGCGTAAGCCCATCCCTTAGCCAATATTTGCGACAACAATTAAGCTTTGTTTATATAATATATTTCTCATTGAGAACTGCCGACGCGACTGTGAACATTAAAGTTAGCAAGTGACAGTAAAAATGGCATATAATGCCTCAATACGTTTAAAATATACATAATAAATGTTTAAATTTATACAATATTGTATAAGCCACCATTATGTAATAAATATGCAAGCATGATTCACGGAGACTCGGCTCGTTAAGCTTCTTTATGTATATTGTTGCATGGTACATATGCACCAAGAAATTCGCGATTTTAACAAAATTTCTCCAGTATTTTTTTAAGGATTTACGTACGTTTTCACTGTTTACCTTCAATTTAACCTCGTTACACACTAAATAAAATTATATTCTTCGTCGTAAATAGATAGGCTGTACGTTTTCATTCGACTGGTCCTATGAGGGTAGACTGTGTTCGAATACACGCTTAAATGATATTAAAATACCTTAGAGTAGGTAATAGAGAAACAAACCACATACAGATCAGGCAACGTAAGCGTCGGGGTCAGATACTCCGATAGTGCAAGACAACACCACAATTAATCAAAGCGACCGTACCAAATCAAGCTGATTAGCCAGCAATTAAAATAGCGATTTTCCACTATTAATTAATTTTAGACAACACAAGTCTTTGGTACAGCCGCTTATACACATAATAACAGATATATAACAATGCAATAGATGTTATTCATGCACCATATAAACGATATTCGAGAAAAACACTTGCTATAGAGATCAAAATTGCCAGGTATAAAAAAATCGGAATTATAAAATATCGTAATTGTATAGAAAATAGTAAGTATAAATGTGCTATATCGTTTCTAAAATACAACAATTTTAAAAGTTTGATGTACTTTGATACGTAATAATAAATATTTGATAAATATAACGTAATTATTTGCACACATTATATATAAGTCACTAAATAATCTGTGTAATAAAGAAAAAAAATACATATTTTAATTTGAAAATATTTGTCGAATTTACAAAGGTTTTAATACCTCCACATTATTCCTGGCAGCTTAATAAGAAGGTCATTAAATGAAATATTTATTCAATACATTACCCTGGCCGCAATACTCGTAGTGGGTTTCTCCAACAAGTCCCACAACCATTTCTGGTATTGTGCGCAAGTGCCTTGCCCAAATTCTTCCTCTTCCCTTTGGCGCAAACTTTCCGCTTCCTTGCGCATTTCTTCGTGAACGTGTTCCTTTCTCTGATGATATTTGTGCTGACAACACGATTCTAAATACAGTTCGTCTACACCCCAATATTCAAGGTCATCGCTAAATGCCAATACGCACATTTCATCCACTAAATGCAACTTGCCAGTTCGATAGAAGTTTAATATCGAACTGAAACTCTTCGGATGCCTGAAATTATAGAATAAATCGATTTGGGAAAATTGTCCTTAAATGCAAGCTGCAAGTCCCGTTTTCGGGTATGGAAAATATATTGTGTCCTATCTCATGACTCCTATTATCACATCACTATCTCAAAGTTACCAAATCAGAGGCGGAGATTATAAGGCTTCGACGAGAAAATAACGGTTAAGGATGAAAATTACCAGAGGCTAATCTCCTATTTGTCTATAATAAACATCTTGCGTATTCAACTAACTTATAAACGACTCGGGAGATTAGTTTAATTCTTTGTTTAAACGAAAACAACAGAAAAGAGCAGCACTTTAAACTTGATCGACTACGTGTTAGTGTCTTGTTGTCACTACTTTATTATTATGAAATTTTGTTTTAATATAAGAATGTGAAGCATGGCGTAATGGTTGCAGTTTCCTTGTAAACCAAAAATAGTAGAGTTTCATTTAAAACTGTTTGTTAGATAAAAAAAGAAATGTACATAGTTCCATTTTTAAATTTAAGCCAAATATGAATAAATGAATTTCGATTTGAGTTGTTTATTTTACACGCCAATACTAATTTATTACTTTTTCTAAAGACGAATAAATTTTAAAACATGATTTCGATTTGTTACAGATTTTGATTCCCTTCAAAACATCCTGAATGCATTTGAAATTAAAATACTAAAGCTGCCTACCTATCAAAAAAATATTCATTATCTTGCAAGGAGTAGTCATCGCAGAGTTCAGTGATCGCTTCATGTGTGTTGCAGTCCCGTAGTCTGCCTAGACGTGTGTGTGGTAGCCTTTCTAATGTCCGCCAAAGGACCTCGTGTCTGACACCACCAACGTTTATTATCACCCGTTTGCTCAGGGCCTTAGCCCGGAGCATCATGAAAGGCTCCGGTGGTAGCGACGACATCGACCTGCAAGAAATACGATGCAGATAATCAACATTTATGCAGTAACAACCAGTTTGATAAACGCATTCTAATAGATTCTTTGGAGACAGATCAAGAGTTACAAGCGTAGAAAGCATTTCTGAAATACGTAAATTAAGTCACAAATATTTAATCTAATAAAGGCAAATATGATAATACAATATTCCTCTAGAATTAGTGCATTTTAATGGGTTAACGCTTCTGCATTGAAAGTCTCTGGTAAAGCCACACATACCAAAATACCTAGATCGATTCCCGAGAAATAAGGAGTCGATACTTATTGGTGCTTTCCTCGCTCAACGAATATGTATCGCAATACAGGAAATGATTTAGGATTTAGGAACTTTTTAAGTTTGTTTTAATTTCCTATTTATCTATTTTTTAATTGTTATTATTACTTTGTACGTTATGAATATTGTAGATATTGTTTATTTGTGTGTTGGATATATATTATAAATATCTTTAGGTTTAGGTTATCGATAGTTAAGTAGTAGTCAAGATCAGTTAACATGTCAAAAGGAGACTGGCTGCCCAAAACACATGGAATCCTAGTATGGGGGCTAGTGCACTTTATTTTACCTAAATATCCTGTTATTGTGTATAATAAAGTTTGTCTTTCTTTATTTCGATACTCCTTATTAAACAGTTCATATTATGCAATCTCTAAATTTTCGCAGATTTATGAATAAGATTTAACGCTTTTAGGAATTTTACAATAAAAATATGTTTGTATGACTGTGTGTATGTACCTGGAATGCGCCCGTTGCAGCGCTGCTGCGGCGGCCGCGGCGGTCTGGCCGGGCGGCACCGGCGCGAGGCTGAGCGAGGCATCGTGCGGCGCCGCGAAGCCCATGGGCGCGCGCGGGGGCGAGTCGCCCACCTGTGAGTGTAGGTATATATCGTATGAGATTTATTTGAAAATAATAGCTTTTATCGTAATGTTTTGTAGATTAATAAATAAAGTATACTATCGCTTTCAGAATGTTGTTTTTTTTCTGGCTGTGTGAACAAATATTTTGCTTTCACAATGGACAATGCCCAAGCAAGCTGTAGCGCTGGCGTGACGCGTCCGGAGGAGCTATAATAGCAAACAGGCGGTGATAGTGAGGAGACTTCCATACTTTTAGACAGTCTTTGTAATGAATTGCATATACATACTTAGTCTGGCCATAAATACTGTTACAATTAAAAATAATATATATAAATATAAATATTACATTTTAATTTGGAATCTGTAATTTTTATATGATTGTATTAGCTATAAGGGAGTGACTGAGCCATTCTATTTTGAAAAAAAAGGTATCAAAACATCGGCACAAGTGTATCAAGATACCATTCTTGAGAAGGTAGTGAAGCCCCTTAACAACATCATGTTCAATAACCAAGAATGGTCCTATCAGCAAGACTCAGCGCCGGGTTATTAAACTCGGTCTACGCAGTCTTGGTTGGAAACGAACGTTTCGGACTTCAGAGCTGAAGACTGGCCGTCGTCTAGTTCCGATCTTAATCCGCTGGATTATGATTTATGGTCAGTTTTAGAGAATACAGCTTGCTCTAAACGCCATGATAATTCAGAGTCCCTAAAACAATCCGTACGATTGGCAGTGAAGAATTTTCCCATGGAAAGTCCGTGCTTCTATTGATAACTGGCCTCAACGGTTAAAGGACTGTATTGCAGCCAATAGAGACAACTTTGAATAAGCTTTTTATAGTTTAAATTGTTTTAAATTTATGTATTCAACTAACACGCTGTAAAAGTAATATAATAAATGTTATTTTCAATAGAAAAAAAATAGTTTTTCTTTATTTCTGTATTTATGGCAAGACTAGGTATACACTATACTAGAGACAACTTTGAATAAGCTTTTTATAGTTTAAATTGTTTTAAATTTATGTATTCAACTAACACGCTGTAAAAGTAATATAATAAATGTTATTTTCAATAGAAAAAAAATAGTTTTTCTTTATTTCTGTATTTATGGCAAGACTAGGTATACACTATACAGTAGAAACACTTTGCTGATGGTTTTACAATGAAATTTACTAATGAGTTAATTTAACTATCCTTACATTAGCTTTACATACTGGAGTTGTATTGTCCGAATAAATATTTTTTTCTATTAATACCTTTGTATTGTACGGTTCCCTGGTCACCGGGATGCTTTGAATTATTGAAGATATTATTTTTACTTTATTTTAATCACTCACGTACAATAAAAGAATAAACGCTATGCTATACTAATAAGGCTGAACACAGTTTCGTCTACCTATATAGAGTATACTCCCGGGCGGTTATTACTCCGACGATTTCGGTAATCGCTACGCTTATAAAACTAACAAAGCCTGAGTGAGAAAAATGTACAGTCTTGGCTTGTACATATAAATAACTGCTTTCATAATTGAAATTATTTTAAGAAAGTATATATACTAAAAATACTGAGCCCACCTGCCACTGCGCGGCGCCGCGGCCCGCCCCCTCCCCGACCATATCGCTAGCTCATCGTGCCACGCGCCTCCGCATTCTGCCCGCGCTTGCCATTTATGCCACTACCCTGAAATACAAACAATAATTATAAAATGTACTTATGAACCAAATCTTGTTCACCCATTCTGTACTGCCAAGAACTGCGCATAAGCTCTTGGTTACCTCAGAGCTTAAAAGTTCGCTGACGACAATAGTCACCCTAGAAAAACCCTCTTGATTATGTTTCATATATGAACCACACACTTCTGTTCCATCTAGGACCTCCAACCTAACCAACTATGCCAAAAACTCAGTTTTATATCGCGCAGCCCGTCATACAACGACCACTATTTAGGCCTTGACTTGTTTAAGCTGTCGCGGAATATGCTTAGGAGTATTAAGAATAATCATAGCGCTAAATAACCTGCATCATGAGCACACCCCACACCCTTTACGTGAGGGATACTTTGACTTACACACCATCACACAACACAACCGCATTAGGTTTTACTTAGTTAAATGTTTTTTTTGTTATATATGATTTATTTTAGAGATAGGATTACGAAATCAATAAATAAATAAAGAACAATAACTATATAAGACCTCTATGAAATTTGAAAAACTAATAGTTTACATATATAAACGTATATATATACAATTTCTATAAATCCTTCTCAATCATAAAGCCACAAAAAACTTAGTCTAGCTAATGATTTATTCATAAACAATTTTATCTACGAAAAACAAATAGAAGGGTGTTGAAAGTGGCTCTGTATTGAGAGCAGGCGTGGGCGGGAATCGATTGGCGTAGGGCGGGCGGATCGAGGCTTGCATTGAAACTGATCCGATAACGACCACATTCAGTGCATACGATAGCCATCATAGTTGTTCTTGTGTGTTACCCTTATGAAAAGCTATTTTTAATTAACGTAATATCTTTGAGTCTCAATACCGACTTCATACACATTTAGTCGTCTATTCTTAGCTCAGCGACTAACTTAACGCTTCTAATAAAAACTAACATCCGTTGCTAACAATATACAATAAACGTTAGTTAACAAGTGCAAAATCAAACTTTTATCTGTTTATTTTCAATTTCTGTGTTACATTAGACACAGTTGTTCACGACTTTTTATCGACGTATAACTTTATCCCTCAAAATCAATTTAAAAAAAATCATAATCACTTATTCATATAGGTAACACTATGTACTCTTATGACCGTCAAAAAAGAAATATATATTAAATGCTTCTAGTTTTACATTTACTGCCAGTCCTCAAATCAAGGGCGTAGAACGGAAGAGAAGAACTGGCAATAAACTCTCCGCCACTCTTTTTAATCGTCAAGTTTTTTGTTTTACACAATGTTTGTAAGGAGCTGCAACCATTACACCATGTTTCACATGACATCGTAAGTAATTAATAGTTAATTAATAATAATATAATAAATTAAAAACAGTGATTTGTCCTCTATCAGCAGGAGGCATGAAGAAATAGGAGCACGCACTTACATTCTCGTGGGAACAACACGCAAATACATAGTCAATAATGTTAAATCTAGCGTTTTAAACATGAAAAAAAATCCATCCACCGAAGTTCATTACAATAATATTATAATTATTGGATTATAATGTTAAGGTTACAGGTATAATTCACGGAAGTAAAAGGTTGTATCTCAGGAATCCTTTACTCTTTTATCGGCAACGTACCTGGGTTAGTGAAAGAATCTAACAAAAAGTGAAACGAGAGGTATAAACATTTCACCACTATTCGAGGCTTATGTACATACGAAAAGGTTAGTCTGTTAATTAGCAACATAGTTTCAATGCGATTAACGCGTAAGCCTACAAACTAACAAAATCCTTTAATAACAACAGATTAGCTTGCACCATATTTGTCAGGCCGTTTATATTAAACGAATTAAACAAAATATTACCTTTATTCATTATTGATGTAAATGTGGTACAGTATTTAATTTTTCTGGTAATAATAATTAAAAAAATAATCGTACACACAGCAGCAGTATATATCATCAGATAACTAGTTTTAGCTAACATAAAAGAAAAAATAAACCTATATTCATATAACAGAGTAGTTATTGCTTTATAACAAGTATAGTTTTAATTAATTATTAGGTTATTTTTTGTTTTAAGGACCATTTTATTTAAACTGGCTGTATGTTTAGCTTATGATATGAACATAAAAGATAAGTAACGTAGAAAAAAGTAGGTCACTTTCTCTATATACTTATATTATTTAACTACTTATTTTCCCGGCGCCACTCGGTCTGCAAGCCGCCCTCTTTAATCAATACTATATTTGTGAATGTTCTACGTAATCATTCACTGTCATTTGTCAAACACTGATACAGTAAAACAGTAATTTAGTCATGGTTTTTATTTATTTTTTAGTTAATATGAAGCAGTTCTTACTTAAGTAGTTGGTTATTCATTAACATTCGTACTCAGAGTCATGTAAGAGTTAACGTTTATTTCAAAAAGATTAAAATAAGTTCACATCTAATTGGAAGCTGATAAAAGATCTATCTCTGTTCTGTACTACTTATTAAATCAATATTGATATCATTACAAAATGTGTACTAAACATAACTATATATATATATATAATATTCCTACAGAATAGAAAGGATGTAAATAGATATGGAAGTAAATAGGCTTGCTACGAGGGCAGCTCGTAGCCCGTATTGATCTCGCGCTACGCGGCAGGCGTGTAGGCGCCGGTCGTAGCACGTAGCTACGACTACTTATACCATTGACTTGCCTACTATATTTACGTAAACATCTTCGCAAATATGGGGAGCTAATATTGATGAAGAAATATGCCTTAGTGATGTAACTAAAGGATCTGTTATCGCAATGCTCCTTATTTTATTTTTGTTATTCATACAGTCTCGTCATTTCAAAGCTTTAGTCCATAACTATAAACTAACGCTAGTTTTTTTACTAATAACAGTCAGAATCAAGTATAATAATAATGTATTCCTATAAGAGGAAAGGAGGAAGGGTAAAAGAAAATGTTTAAAGTATAAATTGCATTTAGTAATTAATTAAAAATAAGCAAAAGCACCAATTAAAACGGATTTTGAAATTAAAATAGTATTTCGATTTTATTTTTGGAGCGGTTCTTATTTCTAGTGCTTAAGATGTTGTATTATTACAATTTATTATTTTTTTCTTAATTTATAATCTATTCGTGGTTAAATTAAAATTGTAATTTAACATAATAAAATTCACTCGAGGATCGTACTACGTTATATCCCGCATGTAAGGAAATACTAATTAAACAAACGTTATTTTAATACTAAGATCTTATAATGCATCAAGCGTATTATATATATGTAGTAATAACATATCGGTATCACCGATTTCGCTTGTAACAAAAACACTTATAGAAAGTAAAATCAAAGTAATCTATTAGAATAAGGAAAATGTCTGAGATTAACGTCACTGAGAAAGTGCAAAAGCGATTCGCTTTTCGCAGACAGAGTGTCGACTCCTTCGTGATTAGAGGGGCAATGTTATCCATATTATTAACTACATTTCACCCCCGACTCACTGACCTTGTCTTTTACTAGAGTGAACATCTTATGGAATTAACAGATATTTCCGCACTCTTGGCATAGTATAAAATAAATAAATCAGTGGCGCTACAACCTCTTAAGGTCGTGGCCTTAGATTTCTGAATCTGTTTCATGATCATTTTTTTAATCTAATAGGCAAATAGGTTATTAGCTTCCAGTGCCTAATACACGCCGTCGACTTTTTGGGTCTAAGACATGTCGGTTTCCTCACGATGTTTTCCTTCACCATTCGAGCAAATGTTAAATGCGCACATAGAAAGAAAGTCTATTGGTGCACAGCCGGGGATCGTACCTACGACCTCAAGTATGAGAGTTGCACGCTGAAGCCACTAGGTCAATACTGCTCACTTGGCATATTATAGTTTATTATACATTAATAATACGTAATCTATTTTAGTAATTCAATAATTCAAACACATTCTAAATTCATTTAAAAGGTATATTTTACAGACCCAAAAATGTATCTGTTATATATCGTGTAATATTTAGATATTGTGGTGTACTTGCTTATTAATTTTATTATTTTTTAAATGTCTAATATAATTCTAACATTTCTATATATATATATAATACAAAGTGTTCTTCTAGATCCATAAGGAGTATTTTATATTGCATCTCATTGGTCGAAACGAGTTTTTTATTAAGATATTAACCCCAATTTAGGAACGCGTAAACTATAAATGTCTAGACAATGTCATTTCTTGTATAAATATTGTTATGCGTAGTGCGATTGCCAGTTAATCCAAATATTAATGGCCTTCGCAAAAGTGGAAATTTACTAAAGAAAACTTCGTTAAAGTAACAAACACATAAATCACCTCATTAGGACTCTGGCAAAACGCCACATAATAATGATTTGCCATAACTATTGTGCTCTTATCGGAATAATTTTGATGAAAGCCATAAGATGGTCACGCTACGGGTTTATGTAAATTGCGCGTAAATTATTATGTACTTATGAAATGTGAAAATCGTAAAATTGTAACCCGCTTAATACGTTATCCGCATAATGTATATACTATATTGAATCTGGCATTTATGTAAGAGATATTTCATAACTGTGTGCGTAAAGGAGTGCAGTCCCTTTTACAGCAGGACGTTAATATGTGGGCTTAATCAAGGTTAAAACCGCGAGCTTTCAAACGCAGGACTTATACGGTTATACCCATACGGTTAATTGACCCACCCGTTTGAACCCTGAAAACGCTATTACTTTTTAAAATCTATACGCTTTCCATTTATTCCGCCCTAGTTGCCTTTTTTGGCTAAGTCCCTGAGAAATTGTTAATAAGCCTTTCGGTACATGAAAGGTCAGAAAGTAATCTTGTATTCGCGTTCTCCGTTCTCATTCAAGGTCGCGTTAGTGTTGTATAGCTTCCTCCGTTTTCCAGTTTTCAGCAAGCTTTAACGCCTTTAAAGACAGT